ACCGATTGTTCGCCCGTCTCCCCAGCATCATCACCAATTTAGGCGAGGCTGCTAATGTACAGCTTTTGTTTGTTTACGTCCGACAAGGCTTTATCCTCCCTATCTTCTTCTCGAGCTCTCTTTCCACAACCCAAAAATTTCTCCTTTTTGGTGGGCAGTGCGCTAATCACATCACATCGGTCTCCAGCTCATCAAATTGTACTATTCGGTTACATACATTAGCCTTTCTCCTGCCCCTTATGCAAAAGGAATTCGTACACCCGAAGCGGGATTGGCCAACTTTCCTACTCATATCCGTTAATGATTTTGCGGTTTCAGACGCTTTGTTCTACCTAGAATTTCGCCGAAATACAGAAATATATTTATCATCACTTGAACCTGTGTTTTCCACTGACTATGCTGGTAAACATAAAATACTCGGGTTACTCATTCTGTGCACAGCAGGTTATCATGTACTTGGAATACCCAGGATTTTCGCATTCTTTTCTCGCGATAGAGGGTCGCACTGCTCTGCTCGTTCATACCATGTCTACCACTCGGGGTGTAACATTTGACCAGATGCCACGTCGATGGAAAGAAGCCAACTGTGGTCAGAATACGACCGAGAATAGGAAAACCATCATCAGGGGACTAGGACATGTATGTATACCGCGTTAGGCTTCTCGGTCGAAGACCCGAGGCCATTGGAATCGTTAAAGTTTAGATTTATGAACAGTTTCATTCGAATTAAACCGTATTCTGTGTCTTTACTCTGATAGTGNCCCCCCCCCTCCGTCATCAAAACGGCAGTCAAAAAGCAACCAAAACGACCGCATGATGTGCGAGGAAAGCTCATGTTTTCCTTTTGTCCCCACACAGAATATTGACGCAGTTGAATCGTTTCTCGGCTAAAAGTAAATGACAAAATGTCACATATAGTTCCAGGTAGGAGATAACAACAACTAATTTGCGTTTAGTTTTTAGTTTTGTGAGATGTGCCAGGGTTTCATCAAGTTTCCGCTTGAAAGATTCAATAATTGGTGCACAGACGACGTGAGATTGAAAGAGGTTTCAAGTGTTGTCTGCAAAAGATTGACCCAGGCATTCCAGTCGACAGTTTGGAATCAGCAACTTGAGGCGATGTCCCCTAAGGTGTGTGTTGGTCGACCACGTGAGCAGCGGTCGACATGGATGCTTTGTGTTCTGCAGTATTTCATACGCCAAAATGAACTCTTCTCGAATTCGGCGGTACTGAGCAGAATACAGTTCCATAGGAGATCGTAATCTCTCCTCATTGGTGAAGTAGTTCAATCCCTTGACCGTCTTGATGGCAATCCTTTGTGGGCGCTCCAGCATCTTACGTTCACGTTGTAACCTTGGGCTGCAAGCTTAGATGGCGTATTCTGTATATGGTCGAATGTACACTGATGGCAAACGTGGGAACAGCGCTGACTCAAACCGACCAAAGACTCGCCTAAGCAAGCCGACATTACTCACAGAAGCGGAAGAAGCCCTGGGCCAATTGATCGAGCAGCCTCTTGAACAATTATACCCAAGTAATTCTTACTTGAGATGCGTGGCCGCTGCCGATCTTTGAGGAAATATGAGAATCTACTCTTGTGGCCAAGGGATAGGACTTTATATTTATAAACGTGGGATTCAATGTCGTTCTCCGTATACCACTGATAAGCTACGTTAAGTATTTCCTGAAATGTTAGCGATCCTCAGGTTCTGCCATATCATGACCAAATGATGATAGGAGTGTATCGAAAAATCGAGACAGGTTTTACAATCAAATGACAACCAAATGGTCATTTGATAGTAAAACCTACCTTGAGAAAGATTACCCACGGTAACCGAAACGTCGGCGAATGTAATTTTCTGCCGACATCGCTGTATTATTAACACCATAACATTAACATTCACGATCCTCAGGTTCTGTTACCGTATTCCAGGTTGTGGCGTCGTCTGTAAACAGCATTGCTTTTTCTGGATCCAACACATTCGGTAGATCATTTATGAATGATAGAAAAAGTCTGGGACCGCGGGTAACGTTGATAGGTTGGGATAGGGAATCAGAAACACGAACTGATATGGTTTGTTGTCGGAGGAATGCTTTAATCTAATCAAGCACGAAACGTCGAATGTCGTAATCGTAGAGCTTCTGTTACCAAATTTGGTGATTCACCCGATCAAATGCTTTCGAGAAGTCGAGATAAATCACATCCGCCGCATCTCTCTCGTCGATTGTTCTGATCAATTCATCTCGAACAAGAAGCAGGTTGGTGGATCAGGATCGCTTTTGTCTGAACCCGTGTTGAGCTGTCGAAAGAATGTTGTACCTTTCGAGTTGTTCCATCAAATAATCTGCCACAATTGACTCCATGGCTTTAGAAAACACCGGAAGGAAGGTTACTGGTAGGTAAATAGCGGGGTTACTATGAAAGCCACCTTTGTAAATGGGTGACATTAACTGACTGCGTTTCCACAATTGTCGGCGTGTTTTTTGGTCGAACGTTTGTTGCAATAGAATGGCCGGTGATTCGCGTCGTCGTGTGCGCTGACTACTTTAGGTCCCAAGGTTTGTGTTTATTGCTTACTCAATCACAAGGTATATCTTGTCTCAGAAGTAACACGAAATAAATTTTGATTTCTCTCGGTTGTTAATTGTCTGAATAATTTCGAATGGGATGAGCGGGGTGGCGAACAATTAGAGACACCCGGAATACAAAAAGAGTAGAATTTTTGCAACAGTGATTCAGACACGACCTGTTCGAATCCAAACCACTATCGCCTGACTTTTCCCATTTGTGTGTGTTATATGGTCGCCTTCTCCATTCCAGAAAATTGCATCCTTGTGTAATCAATAAAAAACAGTAACAATACAAAAGATAAAAGACAATGAATGATAGGTCACAATGCAGGGTTTATATGTACATATATGTATGTCAGGCGGGAGATAAATGTTTGTTCCAATGGATTCGTCGATGTTCCGGAAGCTGATCCTCTGTATAGCATTCCAATCCGGCTAAACTACAATAGTCCCAAAAGGTCAGAGCTTCGCTCGGTCCCGTGGGAGACAATTCAATCAGAGCCTCGTCCGGACTAAGCTGCATTCGGTCCAGATTCAACAATCGGGGAGTAGTACGCATCCAAACCGTATGTGGTTGACTGTAGCGACGAATTAACTCCAACAGATTGTTCCTTGTACCGGATGATGTTGCGCATCGAGGTCGGGAAGATGATGACGGGGTGATTCGCGGAAGACGAACGAACTGTCTGGTGAAATCCTTAC